TCCTAGCAAGGAAGGCATGTCAGTCAATAATGATTGCTTGATTGATTCTTTTTTTTCATTTTTTTTTTTTTGAGACAGGGTTTCTCTGGGCTTTGGAGGCTGTCCTGGAACTAGCTCTTGTGGACCAGGCTGGTCTCGAACTCACAGAGATCTGCCTGCCTCTGCCTCCCGGGTGTTGGGATTAAAGGAGTGTGCCACCCCCACCTGGCAGCTTGATTGATTCTTGTTTCCTGATCTTAACAAGTCCCTCACTCAACTATGTGCCTTTCTAAACTTTAGATTGCTTTCCAAGATTTTTCACCTCAAAGCTTTTAACAAAAACATCTTAATCTAACCTTAAATCATATTTTAAACTTTTATTTTAGCTATGATGCACACTGAAAACTGTGAGCACATCTCTCAACGATAAGATTAAAAGAACTTTAGCTAACTTAGCTTCTGGTACTCAGTTGTTTTTCTTAGTCATTACCCTAAGCCACAGTCTATATGACTATGATTGGGCATCTAAAAAACAGTCTCCTTTCTTAGTCTTTCTTGGGCTTTTCATTTGAGGAAAATCTTCATCCCATTGAGCTTATCGTGCTTTTCAAACCTGTTTTCCAGTCTTTCTCCATGCTGTCTGCCTGTGCACTGTGCCACAAAATTGATGCTTTCCTTTATTACCTGTGGCTACAAACTAATGACATGTCCATTGACAATCCAAGTAAGTCAAGAAAGAAATAGTTCTCAGGTATCCCTAAACAAACAAAGCATTCATCCCTGCCCATTGTTTCATTTCATTAAAAAGAAAAGTCTCTCTGTGCTTACCCAGACCAGCAGGTCATTCTTCAGCGACAGGTCCTGAGAAAGAAGGTCCAGGATTTCAGAGTTAAAGAAGACAGAACATGTGAGTTTGGTATGTATTGCAGAAGCTGTGCCTTATGCTAGGCAAGTTCACTGAGAAATACATCATCTTGTACATGATTTCCAGTGAAGAAATGGGACAGAGCCAGAAAAAGCTGTCATCCAATAGGATTAAGTCTAAAGGAGGGTAATCCAACAGCAATGCACAAAGGATATGTGGAGACTCTAAAAAGCATGGCAGACCAAACACAGAGTGGCCTTGGGGATGATAACTCCAGTCCCTTTTTCTTTTCTTTTTTACTTTTTCTTTTTTTTTCCTCCTCCATTATAAAATTTAAATTAGAAACAAGATTGTTCTACATGTCAATCCCAGTTCCCTCTCCCTCCCCTCCTCCCCTGCTCCCCACTAACACCCTACTTATCCAATACCATTTCTGCTCCCCAGGGAGAGTGAGGCCTTCAGAGTCTTCAGAATCTGTCATATCCTTTGGGATAGGGCCTAGGCCCTCCCCCTTGTGTCTAGGCTGAGGGAGTATCCCTTTATGTGAAATGGGCTCCCAAAGTCCATTCCTATGCTAGGGATAAGTACTGATCTACTACAAGAGGCCCCATAGATTTCCCAGGCCTCCTCACTGACACCACCATTCATGGGGTCTGGATCAGTTCCACGATGGTTTCCCAGTGATCAGTCTGGGGGCCAAGAACTCCCCCTTGTTCAGGTCAGCTGTTTCTGTGGGTTTCACCAGCTTGGTCTTGACCCCTATGCTCATCACTCCTCCTTCTTTGCAACTGGATTCCAGTTTTTTATGGAGAGAAGTCTCATTATCAGGAACTGATATTTAAACTCCTTTGAGGCCCTTTCCCCAGCTCCAGTCTGGCCTAGTCAAGTTCACTCCTGAGCCAGGACACAGAACTGTATTCCATTTTCCTTTTCATCAGGGCCTCTGAGAAAGCTTGGATAGTTCTGGCTCTCCACAGTGTGGGGTGTTTCCTCCTAGATCTTCAGCAGGATGAGGCATGAGAGAGCTGCATCATTGCCTAGCCCCTTCTCTGCAATGTATCTCTGGTTTTAAAATGGGCTGGTACAACTTCCCAGCTAGTCTCCAGACTTCTCACAGAGGTGCTCAGGTGTGTGTGGCAATGCACAAAGCAATGACTCTGTGGAGAAGGAGGTCTTGTAGCTTCTGGTGAGTCATTCTGCTCCTGTCATCCATTCCTTTGTAGTTTTAGCTTGAAGCAGAAGCTCTTCCCTCTCAATTATCACTTTCTGTCTGGTATTTTCAACTTCTAGAATACAATTGTTACTTTACCACATCTGTCTTCACATGAAGGAATAATACTGCTTGCGTTTTGCTCCCATTATTTACTTGGGATTTTTTGTTTGCTTTTTTTTTTTTTTTTTTTTTCCCCGAGACAGGGTTTCTCTGTGTAGCTTTGGAGCCTATCCTGGCACTTGCTCCGGAGGCCAGGCTGGCCTCAAACTCACAGAGATCCGACTGCCTCTGCCTCCCGAGTGCTGGGATTAAAGGCGTGCACCACCCACGCCCGGCAACTTGGGATTTTTAATATCAAAATGGGCATCTAGTTAAAAACTTGTCTTTATTTTTTTGAGACATTCAACATTAGTTTCTTTGTTTCCACACTCTAAAATCCTGGATTACTTATAATCCCTCACTATTAGACTTACTTAGACTTAATGTCACATTGTGTGCCTGTAACACCACATAGTAATCTCCCTCACACATTCTCTGTCTTCTCTCTATCCATATATTTTATTGTGACAAGATCAAGTTAATTCTGAATTCTGATGTATTTTGTGGTAAAAATATCATCCTGGAAATCAGGTGATCAAATAAAATCTTTAACACAGCTCAATTCTCAGGATTGCAGTCTCAAGAGGGTGCATTTTAGCATCTGTAGGATGATAGCTACACAACTGTGCAGTGGGTGTTGTTTCTGATATTGTGTAAACAGCAAGTGGTCAGTTTGTTTCCCACTCATGTGGACAAATGACGCTCATCTCTGCTTACTTTTTCCACTTAGTTCACACTTCATAGCGCAGAGGCGCTTGCAAGCATCTTTATCAGAAATCTTTTCACCGCAATCATGCCGTTCTTAGCAGAGCTAGTGTGGATTCCTAGTAGCCACAGATGGCTTCAGAACTTACAGCTCAAGTTCAGTGTCCTTACAGCATTGTCCGAATCTTCTGCTTCCCTTTATCAGACTTCTCTTCACTCCATTGATATTTCTAACTCATCCCCGCAGCTTTCATTGGCTGCAGGATTGCTTATTTAAGTGTGCCCCACGAATGAACTTAATACTTGGAATGTTTATTCACACAATCCCCATGTAAGGCTACACCATCTTGACAAAGCAAGGACTTGACAAAGCAACAAAGCAGGGGCATGCATTGTTAATGAATTTTCTGGTGATTCTTATATATAATAAAACCTGAGAACCTTATTAAATATACACTGAAGTTCCTATATGCTAGATTTTATAATTTTCTAGAACTGTATAGAGTAACTCAAGATTGACACCCCTGGAAGGTCTTGCATACTTGTTGAAATTTAGGTTTAGATGAAGAATGAGGAAGAACTTTGTGTCTGGCGTTGAGTGAAACGTCTGTCAACAAACAACGAGAGCTGAGGAGGTTTCACGGAGTCTTAAGTGTCTTGTGAGACCCTCACACAGGCTTCCTCTCACTTTTTAATCATCAGTGATCTTGGGGGATGAGGGTGTGCCCCGTGCTGTCAGTACGCATCTCCTGTCTTCTGGAACTCACTGCCAGCAGACTGCTGCCACTGCCATGTAGTTTTGAGTGCCTGGTACAATTTCAATCTGTGCACACATAGTAGCTTTAAGGAAATCCTTGCTTTTCATCTTCACCTGAAATCTGAGAATGTCTTGGAATTTGTAGTCTTGTTCTAAGTCTCAAGGCCTGAAAGTCCTTGGAGGAGTTGACACATGCTATAGACCTTGTAGCTCTGACAGATAAAGCTTCACTCAGGTGAATATTATTCTAACAACCATGTGAGCCTTCAGGGCAATGCTGAAAGGCACGTGTGGCTCCCTCCTCATAGCTTTTCCTATTTTGCCAGTAATGTCTCTATCACTTTATCATCTATCTGTCTATCTATCTATCTATCTATCTATCTATCTATCTATCTATCTATCATCTTTCTAAGTCATCATGTATCTATCATGTATATATCTATTTATCCATCTTTCATAATATTTTGCCACATTATTGTCCTTATTTCCACACATTACAGTTTCCCTCATGCCATGGATTTTCAGAAGGATTTTTGAGATTCAGCTTGTGTCAAATATAACCTTGGACTTTGATGCGTTAATTTATGTTTTTATGAAAAGTCACAAAATACCTCATATCATAATTCCTGGGAATTTGGTGGGGAGGGATCCCTTACATTTGAATTCAAGATTGGGTGGTTGTAGGCAGAGTTTACCTGTTCTTCAGTCACTCTCAAATAAACATACCGAGGCTTATTTTAAATTATATTATATTAAATTATAAATGCTTGAACAATAGCTCAGGCTTATTACTAGCTAACTCTTACATTTTAAATTAATCAAGATTCCTTATTTGCACTCTGCCACTTGGGGATCCATTTATTAGCATGGCAGTTTCATCTAACACTCCCTCTGTGTCTGGCTGGCAACTCCTGACTCCACCTTCTTCCTCGCAGACTTCTCCTAGTCTGGCTTTCCTGCCTAATCTTATTCTGTTCAGCGGCTGGCCAGTCAGCTTCTTTATTAAACCAATCACAGCAAAAATACATTCATATATTGTAAAGGAATATTCCACAGCAGGTGCTCATGTACCCTGACGTTTACTCTGAGGAAATAACTGAGAACAGATGGCTAAAGAAATAAGGACAAAAAAGTCTTTTCCATAATTTTCTCAAAATGCATTCCATGTGTTACATCTTCCCTTTGAAAGATAAGAACGAGTAAACTATGTGAGCATAATGAATACCAAATTTGGTAACTGTGGAGAAACCCTCACATACAAGTGTGCGTGGGTGTGGACACAAGCAGGAGAGTCTTAACAGCGGATTTCCTTTTGTTAATTTGACCTCACAGAGCTTTGAGTTTCTCTTCACTCACAAGACAGTGTCGAATCTCCCACCTTAATGGACACATCAGTTGTCTACGCTGACTTAAACTTAGCCAAGACTCAAGGCCTTAGGCATGTATCACCCCCATCTCTCCACTCAGGTAAGTAGTGGCTTTGTTTCTTCTTTCAGTACTTGAATATATTCTAGAGCTATGATTCCATTATATTACAGTTTGAATTTATTGCTTTGGGATGGTGAGATGACTCCTCAGGTAAAATCACTTGCTGCACAAACCTGACAACCAGAGTTCAATTCCCTTTGGTGGAAAGAAAATCAGCTCCTGAGAGTTGTTCTTCCATCTTTACACCTAGTCTGGCATGCATTTTAATTAAAAATGCAACACACACACACACACACACACACACACACACACACACACACACGAGCGTTAGGGTCTTTCTATAATCTCTCTCTCATTTCTTTTTTTTTAAATTTAAATTAGAAACAACCTTCTTTTAAAGGTCAATCTCAGTTCCCTATCCCTCCCCTCCTTCCCTGACCCCCCACTGACCCTCTAGCTCAACTCTTTTCAGCTCCCCAGGGAGGGTGAGGTCTTCCATGGAGGGATCTTCAGAGTCTGTCAAATCATTTGGAGCAGGGCCTAGACCTCCCCGTGTGTCTAGGTTGAGAGAGTATCCCTCTATGTGGAATGAGCTCCAAAGTCCATTTGTGTACTAGGGGTAAATACTGATTCACTACCAGTGGCCCCATAGAGTGTCCAGACCTCAAAACTGACCTTCTCATTCAGGGCGTCTGGAACAGTCCTATGCTGCTTTCCCAGCTATCAATCTGGGGTCCATGAGCTCCCCCTTGTTCAGGTCAGCTGTTTCTGTGGGTTTCTCCAGCCTGGACTTGATCCCTTTGCTCATCACTCTTCCCTCTCTGCAAATGGATTCCAGAGTTCAGCTCAGTGTTTAGCTGTGGGTCTCTGCTTCTGCTTCCATCAGCTACTAGATGAAGGCTCTAGGATGGCATATGAGGTAGTCATCAATCTCATTATAAGAGAAGGGCATTTAAGGTAGCCTCTCCACTATTGCTTAGATTGTTAGTTGGGATCAACTGTGTAGATCTCTGGACATTTCCCTAGTGCCAGATTTCTCTTCAAACCCATCTCCCCACTCAGGTAAGTAGTGATTTTCTCCCTCTATTGTGGTACCTCTTTTCTTACTCTCCTCTATTCTTCCCCTGACTAGATTTTCCTGCTTCCTCATGTCTTTCTCTCCCCTCTTCTCCTCTTCTCTTTCTTCTAACTCCCTCTCCCCTCCCCCCATGCTCCCAATTAGATTAGGAGATTTTATCCCTTTCCCCTTCTCCAGGGGACCATGTATGTCTCTCTTACGGTCCTTCTTGTTTCCTAGCTTCTCTGGCAGTGTGGATTGTAGGCTGGTAATCCTTTGCTCTGTGTCTAAAATCCATATATGAGTGAGTACATGCCATGTTTGTCTTTTTGTGACTGGGTTATCTCACTCAGGATGGTTTCTTATAGTTCCATCCATTTGCCTGTGAATTTTTCTGCTGAATAGGACTCCATTGTGTAAATGTATCATATTTTCTCTATCCATTCTTTGGTTGAGGGGCACCTAGGTTGCTTCCAGTTTCTGGCTATTACAAATAATGCTGCTATGAATATGGTTGAACAGATGTTATTATGTTTAGGTATATTCCTGCTATCCCTGATCTCTCCAAGACCTTCATCATGAAGGGGTGTTGGATTTTGTCAAAGGGTTTTTCAGTGTGTAGTGAGATGATCATGTGGTGTTTCTTTCTTACTTTGTTTATATGGTGGATTACATTGATGGATTTTCATATGTTGAACCAGCCTTGCATCCCTGGGATCAAGCCTTCTTGATTATGGTGGATGATTTCTCTGATGTGTTCTTGGATTCAATTTGCCAGTATTTTATTGAGTACTTTTGTATCAATGTTCATGAAGGATATTGGTCTATAGTTCTCTTTCTTAGTTGTGTCTTTGTGTGTCTTGGATACCAAGGTTACTGAAGCCTTGTAAAAAGAGTTTGGCAATGACGCTTCTGATTCTATTGTGTGGAATACTTTGAGGAGAATTGGCATTTGCTGTTCTTTGAATTTCTGGTAGAATTCTTCACTGAAGCTATCTGGTCCTGGGCTTATTTTGGTTGGGAGACTTTTGATGACTGCTTCTATTTCATTAGGGGTTATAAGTCTGTTTAAGTTGCTTATCTGTTCTTGATTTAATTTTGGTAAGTGATATCTATCCAGAAAATTGTCCATTTCCTTTAGATTTTCAAATTTTGAGGAATGCAGGTTTTCAAAGTATGACCTGATAATTCTCTGGATTTTCTCAGTATCTGTTGTTATGACCCCCTTTTCATTTCTGATTTTATTAATTTGCATGTTCACTCTCTGCCGTTTGGTAATTTGGATAAAGGTTTGTCTATCTTGTTGACTTTCTCAAAGAACCAACTCTTCCTTATATTGATTCTTTGTGTTGTTCTCCTAGTTTCTACTTTATTGATTTCAGCCCTCAATTTGATTATTTCCTGGTGTCTACTCCTTGGGGTTCATTGTCTTCTTTGTGTTCTAGAGCTTTCAGTTGTGCTGTTAATTCTCTAGTGTGACTATTCTCCAGTTTCTTCATGTGGGTACTTAGCGCTATGAACTTTCCTCTTAGCACTGCTTTCAAAGTGTCCCATAAGTTTGGGTATATTGTGTCTTCATTCTTGTTGAATTCTAGGAAGTCTTTAATTTCATTTTTTATTTCTTCCTTGACCCAGGAATGATGCAATTGTGCATTATTCAATTTCCATGAGTTTGTAGGTTTTTTGCAATTTGTGTTGTTGAATTCTAACTTTAAAGCATGGTGGTCTGATAAGATACGGGGGTTATTTCAATTTTTTGTATCTGTTGAGGTTTGCTATGTTGCCAAGTATGTGGTCCATTTTAGAGAAGCTTCCAGGTGGGGCTGAGAAGAAGGTACATTCTTTTTGTTTGGATCGAATGTTCTATAGATGTCTGTTAAACCCAATTGGGTCATAACTTCTATTAGTTATATTATTTTTTCTTTTTTAAGTTTCTGTCTGGGGGTTCTGTCTAGTGGTGAGAGTGAGGTGCTGAAGTTACCCACTATAAGTGTGTGAGGTTTTATGTGTGATTTGAGTTTTAGTAACATGTTTCTTTTACAAATGTGGATGCCTTTGTATTTGGGGCATAGATGTTCAGAATTGA